ATAAGTCCAATTATAAATTGTAGTTTCTGTTTCTGACTCTAAACCTTTAACTGCTCTTGTTTCTTTTTACTTTGCTCCTATTCTCGCATTTTCTACTAACTTGTATAGCAGTCTGGCTGGTATGTCAGTCAGTCTGTTTTTCTACTCTAGGCAGTACTCTATCTCTTTATAGCTAACTTTTTTAGTCTGTATTATTTTCCTACTCATCATTTCTTTCTTTGCTAAACTATCTGCCTTATTATTCTATCTATTTTTACTATGACTTTTCACTTTAACTAAATCTATTTGAATGTTTTTCATTTTGACAAGGTCTTTAATCTTTATTATTCACATTGCATTCTTCTTTTTAATAATCTTGTTTCTGTTTATTTGTTCTAGACTCCTACTAATGTTTCTTATTGCAGCATTACTGTCAGTATATATCTCAATTTGTTTCTCTTTCAGTATTGTTAAAATTGTTGCCCAAATTGCTACCAACTCTGCTACCATTAATGTTTGCCATCCTTCAAGTCTCAGTATTAATTCTTCTTCTGACTATTCTTGTGTTTTATTTGTTTAAACCTATCCTATACCCATACTATTCTTAGTTATTAACTTTTTACTGTCTTTTTCATTAGTTGCACTATCAGTATATATTGTGTATTTGTTCTTGTTTCTTATAATATTTCTTTTTAGAACTTTTATTATTTCTTAGCTAATATTTTCTTCTAATTTTTGTCATTTAATAATTTCTATCTTTAGTTTCTCTATTATTATCTGGCCTCTTAATTTGCATTCACTTATTTTGGATCTGCTTGTTTCTGTCTTGTTTGTTATTTGGTCTAGCATTATCTTAATTTGGTTGATACTCTTACTTATTAATCTATCTGAAATTACATGAATGCTTTTACTTAATTTTGTCTATTGCTGATAACTGTTTTCTATCTGTTTTTCTTTTCTTATACACTTTTCACATCTTTTGATCTTGGTTGCTACTTTGTTCTTTTTACATTTCATTTGCTAATGTTTGATTAACACTTTTTTCTTTTTCTTTTTAACTATTTTTCCAAGTTGTTTGTAATCTTGTATGCTATATATTATTCATTCTTTTTTTCTTTTATTTTTTGATATTTGCTCTCATTTGATTTGCATTGCCTGGGTATTTTGTTCATTAGTCTTAAAGTATCTTTGCACTACTCTACTTTCTGAGCTATTGAGTACTTTTGATTCAATTGCCTTGAACTATTTTGCTTTTTTTCCTTTACTCAATTGACCTTGATAGCTTTTTAATTGCTACCATATAATTAGTTTTTTTCCTCTTGTGTCGAGTAGTTGATTTAGGTATATCAGACCAGCTTCATCTACTTTAAGTGCCCTTTTTTTTCATACTTGTACATCTACTAGTTCTTGTATTTTGATACTATGCCTAGGTATTGTTCATAGCTCAGTTTCTGTTCTAATATTTATTTTTAACTTATTTGCTTTGAGTATTATAAGACATGCTAAGTTATTCTTTAAATATGTTTTAGCTTTTGGCAACTCTTTTGGCTTCTATATATCTTCTGCTAAGTCTGCTCTTTAACAGCCTTGTGTTATTCTTAGTTTTGTTAATTGTCTAAGACTGTCTTGTCTGTTTAGTCTTGCTACAAGGCCACTCACTTGCTTCATAGTTAACTCTTGTCACAATGTTCTACAGCTACTAAGATCTTTGTGCTCTATTACACAGTTTTCTACTGTTCTTTGTAGACTGCTTTTTTGTTTTACCAGACTTATTATTGGTTGATGTATTTCGTTTAGGCTTCTGTCTAACAGTTTTGTTAGCTGTAACATATAGCTTAGTTTAAGTATTATAACTATATTGTTTATATATGCAATCTGGCTTATTATCATTTTTTTGTACTTTAAATCTCTTATAGTCTGGTTTACTATCCTTTTTGCCTTCTTCTTTACTTGCACTTCTCACATTCTACTGTTTAAGCATATTTCCAATGAGCAGACTATTTTGTGTCTTGGTTTTTCTATTATCTTGCTTTTTTTATATATTACTGCCTTTTTCTTTTTTTTAACTTTTGTATTCATTATTATTAGTTTTGACTTTGATCCATTTATCTCTATATCATTCATTTCAAAGAACTCTTCTACTATTTCTAAAATCTTTAATAGTTGCTTTTTACTATTTGCAATCCATGTTATATCATCTGTATACACAATTGCTGCTTGATAATATCTTGCAATGTTGTTGCATTGTATACCTATTTGTATTTATTGCTTAACTGTATACCCTAACCCTTTATCTTCTTGGATTCTTTCTAGTAATAGGTCATAAAAGAGACACTATATTAGTAGTGAGATTACCTCACCTTGGTCTATTCTATCTCCTGCTGTTAGTTCTTCTGTTAGGCCATATGCTGTAATTATTCTTAGTTGTCTTTTGTGAAAAAGTTCAATATATATTTAATTGTTTTTCTGAGTATCTTAATTCTTTGCAATGCTAGTTTAAGACTTTTGAGAGAAACTGAATCAAATGCCTTCTTTATATCTTGCAACAGTATCTATATTTCTTTATCTTTTTCTTTTGCTTCTTCCATTATCATGTTCAAAATCTGTTAAGTTTCCTGAAAGACCTGCAAAGTTTGGTCCTTTAAGTATTTCTCTTTTCATAAATATTTTGGCAAATCTTTTCATTATCACTTTTGTAACAACCTTTCTAAATGCCTTAATTAATGCTATTAGGCAGATGTTATTTAAATTATATCTCCACTCTATATCTTTTGATATTAGGTAAACTTATGCTATTTTTCACTTTATTGAGATTTTTCTTATTTCTAAACATAGGTCTGCAAAATTTCTAAAGATTTCTTGTGTCTTTGCTTCTGCTCTTTTGATTAGTATATAGCTTATATCTGAAATACCAAGGGTTGTTCTTGTCTTTACTTTTTTAGTGTTTCTTCCTATTCTTTTTCTTTGATTTTTTCTTTGAGTTCTGCATACTATTCCTCTCTAATGCTTTCTTTTGATTTGTATATCTCTTTCCACTTTTTTGTTATTGTTTCTAGTCTAGTATTTCTTTTTCTAAACTGCAACTTATAATGTTCTGTTACATTTGCCTTAACCTCTTCTGGCTTCGTTATTAGATATGTCTTCTCTTTTACTTGCTTAATAAGCTTATCAAGCAATATCTTTTTGTATGGTTTGTTTAACAGGCTAGCAAGAATTTTTCCTTAGTCTGATTTGATTATTTTACATAATTTATCTATATTTTCTTCTATTTGTCTTCTTTGCATTTGTTCCCAATTTTTTTTTTTTCTTTTTTGTAAAATCTTCTGCCAACCTTTCATGTCTTCTATTCAGGCATGTGATCAGTGCTTTTGTAATTTTGGCAATTTTGCTTCTGCTTTGTTGCCCAGTACTTTTAATTGCTTATTTGTTTCAATTCTTTCTTTTTCTGTTACTTCTTGGTTTTTTCTTGTCTTTGCATATTTAATTAATCTTTGCAGCTTTATGATATCTTTTTTTTGCTGTTGTGCTTTTTGACTAGTTCTTCTATTTGCTACTATATCATATATTCTTTTCTTGGGTATGTGCTTATTTGCTGTGATGATAATTGCTTCTTCTATTGTATTCCATATACTCATTGGGAAATTTTATATAGGAATATATAGTGATTGATAACCCATTAGATATATATTGATACTAATCACCCCTGCTAAGTTATATCGATTTTGGTATAAACTGATATATAATCAGCTTTAAACAATCGATATATATCTAATAAGGTTATCAATCGATATATAATTAGTTTAATCAAGTACTTTTTTTAAAAGACAATATCACTAATAAGATATTTATAAAACATATTATTTATAAAGCCAATTACAATACAAAATATAAATTTATTACTATTACTAAAACTGTATAATCATATTATAATATAAATAATAAAATTTATTATAATTTATTATATAATAACTGCTAGCAAATGTAAACTAATTTAAAAAAAAACATTTGAAGCAAAAATTTAATTATTGTAACCAAATAAATCATTAGCATCCTCTTGTGAAAGTTCCGTTTGATGTTAAGATGATTGCTAAAATGATGAAAAACCTGCTTCAGGTTCATACTGGGGTGACAGGTTATATTGAGATAACACTTGTTGTAAAGAACTATGATTCTTATTGTTTAGTATTGATTTGGCTGTTTCATATGATGGACCACCATTACCGAAATCATTCTATATTAAAAATAATTAATTAATTACTATTAATAAAGTATATGCAATTAATAATAGCATTTACAAGATATCTTTTGATACGATGCATAAGACGTTTTTTTGAACATGTGACATTTCTGAACTTGGGATTAAGTAAAATATTACAGACTGTGAGCATAAAAGTGCAATGCTCATTTGAGAGTATAGGTACAGCAACCTCAGAAAAGGCTGCTCTCGCAATAATTGATTTCCAAAAGACACCTTTCTCATTTATTTCAAAAAGTACATGATAACAATCCAAAACTTCTTCACTTTCTTCCAATTTACTATATTAGCTAGTGTAGTATTTTTTTTTAATAGTAGTAGTCTTTCACAACTGAACACACACCAGACTGCTGCCCTTATGTTTTGAACTGATGCACCTTGCAGGTTCTTTATTTTTTGCAAAAGCTATTATAAAAATTAGTAAATAAGTCATAATTAAAAGAAATATATTTTAAAAAACAATAGATATCAATACATGCAGGACTGAACCATTCATCATGAAACCTATTGGTATATTGATTAGAACTTAAACTATGTATAAACTTAGAATACCTTTCTTCACGACATTGTTTAAGCACATCCTTCAAATCACTTTGACTAGGATATATATTATACAGAAAGAGCTGCTTGGCCATGCAGGTAAACACGTTTTATATATATTTTTAAAAAACAATATATATATTATATACTAGACACTATATACCACTTAAACATGCTAGATTCTAAATGCTATATACTACTTAAATATGCTAGATCTAAATTGTTGCTAACCCAAAACACTTACATCTATTATTTGTACAGAGAGATCATTTTTTTGTTTTTCTTGATGCCTTTCCAGGTGATCTAGCCTGGCTTTAATTTCATTTGTACTTTCTTCAAGTCTTTTAAGCATTAAATATAAATGCTTAAGTTGAGTAAACATTCGCTTATCAACTTGCTGATGATACTGATAGCAGTTATGATAGTCATAGCAGTCAGGATGGCCAGGATAGTTAGAGTGATCAGAGCAATTAGAGTGGTTGTAGTTTGCTTAATGCATACATTAAACATAAATAAATAAATAAATAAATTTTTTCCAAAAAAAAAAAAAAATCAATGACAAATATTAAAAAAAAAGACTTCATATATATACTACTTTGACTATATATATGATTTTGATTAGATAATCTATTATGTGTTGGTGATCTCTCTCGTGATTGTGACCTTAAAGAAGGTCGTTGAGCTGGAGATATTGATTGATTATAATCAGTATGATGTGATCTAGAATAATATCTAGATTCAGGATAGGAAGTAGGTTCATTTTGAGGAGTGAAGAAAGACTGACAAGATAAGGAATGGATGGTGGATAGTTGGCGTGATTAATGTCAAGATACTTGTAAGGAAGATCTGCTCATATTTGAATATATTTGTTGAATACTTCTAATGCTTCTAGTGGTTAAATCAGAAGATAAACTATTATCATTAGAGTTAGGTGGTTGATGAGGTTCAATAATATTGTTAGTATTTAATAGTCAAGAGAGATTTGACCAAGAATGAGTAATAGGTGCAGCAGAGTATGATAGTGGCAATGTACTATTTTAGGTTGGTTTTCTATTGTATTAAAAATTCTTTTATTGTTACCTTTTAGTTAAACTTGTATTTATATTTTTTAAATCTATTACATAAGAAGAAAACAAATTAATATCTAACAATGTCAACCACTTATGTTAAAAGAAAATACAATAACACAAGAATACTTATTATATAAAATTTAAATATAAAGTATAATAA